CCAAATCTTGTATCCTTATTTTCCCCCTTTCCCATCTTCCAGTGCTTCACATGTTTACATTTGCATACATTTAACCCTGGAAGTTTACTTTTGATGTAAAGATTTGTATTAAGGAAAGCCCCTCCTCCTTTTAACTGTGTGCTCTAGCGTGCTCTTTCTACATTCTACATTGATTTCCCATACATGTAAGTTAAAGGAGGCCACCTAGCATGGGAATGCTTGGTTCAATTTTGGTGGGGTGAATAGGGCACAGCTACTGCTGGCATCCTGGAGAGAAAGACGGATGCGGCTCTGCAGTTTGTCAGTCTTGGGAAACTGTCCTGCTTGCCATGCCTAAGAAAGATTATACCAACCCAGATGAACTTCAGTTAGGTAAATACATCTGTCCTTAAAAAGCAGGCATTTCCTGGATCAGGCCAAGGGTTCAGCAGCTACCCAGATGCATCTTGGATGATAGAAACATGGATCTGAGGGCAAAAGCTCTTCCTCATTGACCTCCAGCAGCTGTTACACAAGGTACATATCCTCTGCGTGGTCCATATTAGACTAGTAATAGTTTGATCAGGGCTACATTAAATGGACTGCAAAACTCTGAATGACCATTGGGTGGCAGAAGGGAACTATGTAGTGATGGGGTCGCCATTAAAATAAGGCATACTATACAACATAACATTTAAAATATAAAATACAAGATCAAAATGTGTACAATTTAAACAGACCTTGCCCAGAAACTAGTGACGTTCGTTGCATTCTGTCGTGCTGCCGTGAGGTCCTCAATTGTGCGTTGATCAGGATACAAAGGACAGGTATACAAATGTGTTGCTGTCGGCGTGTCATCACAATTGCCAAGGAGTCTCCCTGAAGAATGTGTGCTGTTAACATATTTGGATGTCCCCTGGGCAACAGCTTATAGCTGGGTAATCCTCTTGATCCAGAAGCATCTGAAGGGTAGTGAGACCTGGTAACCCTCAGTATGATCTTCCATGAATATAGGCACTATATTCCTTTGAGAGTTACATCAGGGGCTATCGTGTCTTAACTGATCTGGACTTCTGGGAAACAATCATTAGAAAATTGTTCTTGAGCACAAGTAGATTCCAGGCTGCTTTTTGTAGCTTCTTTCTCCCCATTTGGTTTGTCTCTAGGTAGACACGTGAAGTAGATCATGATCAACAATTAGGTGGTCCTTAATTTATAACCATTTGTTTAGCAGCTGTTTGAAGTTATAACAGTAAAACTGGTCCTTGCACTTACAACAGTTGCAGGAGCTTCGGTGGCGCAGTGGTCAGACTGCAGTACTGCAGGCCATCTCTGCTAACTACCGGCTACCTGCAATTTGGCAGTTCAAATCCCACCAGGCTCAAGGTTGACTCATCCTTCCAAGGTGGGTAAAATGAGGATGCAAATTGTTGGGGGGCGATATGCTGACTCTGTAAACCGATTTGAGAGGGCTGTAAAGCGGTATATAAGTGCTATTGCTATTGCTATCTCCCAGTCATGTCATCAAAATTCAGGCATTTAGCAAATGGTATGTGCAACATCCTGGGATCGCCATTTGCGACATTCCCACATGGTTTCTGGGTAAGAAAAGTCAATGGAGGGTGCCAGTTTTGCATAACAAATGTGTGATTCACTTAACAACTGCAGTAATTCAATTCACTTAATAATCATGGCAAAAACGGTTGTAAAATTGTGCATAACTGACTTAACAACCGCCTTGTTTAGCAATGGAAATTCTAGTTCTAATTGTGGTTGTAAGCCAAGAACTACCTCTACATCAGCTGCCAAGATGGGTGAACCCAGGAAAATTAGCAAACTGGTTTAGAACAAAGGCTCTGGATTTCTCATTACTTTCCCCAGTTCTTCAAATGTGCCTGGAAACTGACTCTGAGGTTTGAGAATGTGCTAAAAGTACTCTGCACATGCTCCAATATGCTCTTCTTTATTCATGTGAAAATTTGACACTGCAAGTATTCAGTTGAAGAACTGTTAGCTGATTAGTCATGTTTTTGAGGTTTATTGTTTCAATGATTTAATAAACACTTCGATTACTGTATCCTCGACATGTATTCCTTTTTGAGAAATGAGTACCATACTGTACTTTAGTAAATATTTTCAGTTATCAGCACAGTGCTAACGTTTTTCTAACTTCCCCATCACTTCCTCCATCATTTTTCTCCTACAGAATAATCTTGAATGGTGAAAAGATGAATGAAACCCTAATAGCTTCTGACTGTAGTACTAGGAATCTTCTATCTGATAGGATGAAAAAATATGCCTTCATATAATTTATTGCTCTCATGCCTCTGTTTAAAATCCTATTTTAGATTTGACCATAATGGAAAGAGGCAGCTCTCCCTCCCACCCAATTTCATCTGGAAAGTATATAGCTCTATACTCACAGACACGGAGAACAATTAAATGTGTCCACTGGCAACACTGTAATGCAGCACTTAACAGTTCATCAGGCTGTACAACCATCGTTTCTGAAACAGTCCAAAAATCCAACTAAGCCTTCTACAACTGGGTTTTTTTCTGCAAGTATTAGAATTTAGTTCCCATACTTAGCCAGGGATTGTAGAAATTGAAGTCTTCTGGACTGAAGACTGGTCTAACTGCTTAAAATGAGCCTTCTGTCATTTTGTACAGAACTGTAATCTGAAATCAGCTCCCTTATTGCATAATTTTTGCAGAGGTGAAAGAACCAGAAATGTTTGCTTTCACAGGAAAGTGGGAAGTTACTACATACAGAAAAACAAACTTATGGAACGAAGTTTGAATGTCTATGTCCTAGCTATAAAAACTACAAGCAACTTCTTAATTTAAATTCTCCTTCATTGTTTGGAGTAAAATATTTCTTTGAACGGATAAGGTCTATTGCTTATCAATAATAGACATGATAGTTTTGAAAAACGTTGCTATGCTGACACTTTCCAGAAGGGGGCGTCAGAATATGCCCACTCAGCTGCTGCTTTCATTGACTTCTCACCCATCCGTTGGGAAGAGAATCAACCATAAATGCCTCCAAGGATGCGATAATCTCCAGATGTGCAAGTCCAAGCATGATGGGCACTGTGCTCTGAAATATCTGGGAATTTTGGGGCCAGAAAGCCTGAATGTCATTCAACTTATTTTTGTGCATATTTCCATTTTTTCAGTTGTGTCTACTTGATTGAAGTTAATTCTGCAATGTCCTATTATATCCTGGGAAATACCAGGCCTCCTACATTACACAGCCATAATAAAGAGGAATGTCTGCAGAACAGGGTAAAAAAAAACAATCAAGAAGACAGCCATGACAATGTGATGGAAGCTCTGTTAGCAAATGAACTACTCCAAGTTTTTTTTTTTTCAAGTTTTAGCATGCTGGCTGGGGAATTCTGGGAATTGAAACCCACACATCTTAAAGTTGCCAAAATTGAGAACCACTGACACACTCATTGCAGAATTATTTAAAAGGAACCCGGTTGATTTGACTTGACACTGTTGCCTTAACTATTGGCTGCTCCCCCCTCAGTTACACTTACTGCCTCTACACCAGGGGTGTCCAACCTTGGCAATTTTAAGACTTGTGGACTTCAACTCCCAGAGTTCCTCAGCCA